CCACACTTTTTGAAGAGTAGTTTTCTGGTGGTCTTTTTGGAATAAATCTATTCAGAACCATGTTCAACAAGTGTGAAAGATGGACCTGAACCTCATTTTACAGAGGGGCCACTCAGTTGCTCAGCCTCCAGTGCAGCAGGGGATGTAGGGCTGCCTCCCTCCTGTTCAGGCAATCCAATCCTCTTCTCTTAGGACCTTATCCCACGCTGCTCTCAAAAGTGGCAAGAAAGCGATATGAGCATCATTGCAGTACTATAGCGCTAGTATAAATATGGCGCTAGCGCTATAATAGCGCTATGGATAAGCTAGCGCTATTGCAATGCCCGCTGAAACCGACATTCAAAAGAACCCGAATGATGCTGCATTCCGAGCGGTTTCTTGTTGGATTCTGAGCGACGTCGTGTAATCACCCGGAAAACTATAGCGCTATAGCGCCTGATTCTTAGCCGATTCTGAGCGACGTCGTGTGATCACCCGGGAATGTATAGCGCGATAGCGCCTGATTCTTAGTGGATTCTTGCTGCTTTTGGCCCCGTGGGATAAGGTCCTTAGACCCACCTGAGCAGCCTTCACCTTTATTCTCCTTCTCCTCCTCTTCTTCCTCTTCTCCTCATGCCTCCATGGCACTGCCAGGCTTTGGGACAGGGCGCCACATTGTCCTCATCCTCCTCCAGAGAGAAGAGCCCTGGGGGCTCTTTATTGCCAGCACACACGCAGGGCCAGCCTGGCCACAATCGATATCTGGCCGCAGTGGTCCTGGAAGAAGAGCCTGCAGCGGCCAGGGAAAAAGGCCCCCAAGAGGAGCCTGGATAGGGGCCATGCCGTCCATGAGCTGGTGTGCCCCATGCCAGAAGTGTTGCAAAGGTGGGAACTACTAATGCCACTGCTGCAATTCACTTCATAGTGAGAACTGCACCTTGGCCTCAATCACTTCAGCCACCGGGTGTCAACATGATTCACAACTGATTTAAAGGTAAGTGGGAATAGCCCCTGTGTGTGCTATCTATTTATGTGCGTGTTTGGATGAGAGTCTCAAAGGTGATACAAGATCCCTTTGCATACTGATAGTCCAGACTAATATGACTCTTCTCTGAATGACAGAATGTGCGATAGGCATGTTGTGGATTAAAGAAAGAAGCATTGGTGAAGCTAACGGGCTGAAAGGCTCCCCAGTATGAAGCCAAAGGGAGTCTGGTCAGAAATGGAAGCCTCTTGTCTCCATGTCTCTCTCTTTGCAGCCCATTTGTGTGCGGGGCGCCAGCATGTGTGCGCCTTCTGTCTGGACAGGGGCTATGGATCAAGGCCAGGGATGTTTTTTTTTTCTCCTTTAACTTCTTTTAAATCCCTAAGGTGGCCTCAGGTTTCCTCACGAAGGTAGGAGAGAGAAGGGGGAGGAGATGGTGAGGCAAAGAGGGAAGGCTGATGATTCTACCAGCAATGTTCAGGACAGTAGCAACAGCAGCAGCAGGGAAATGTGTGTGTGTGTGTGTGTGTGTGTGTTTGTGTGTGTAGCAGGGGAGGCGAGGAGAGACACCAGAGCCGGCTCTACCTTCCACATGCTTCCCATTAGAGAAAAATGCCCTTTATTTCCCTGAGTCATTACTACTGTAGAGCCATTGGGAAAGAAAGGAATAAAGAAAGAAGGGAAGGAAGGAATGGAGGCAGAGAGAGAGAGAGAGAAAGCAACAGTTCATTCTCATCTTGCAGCACCTTTGAGACTAACTGAGAAAATTCAAAGATATAGCCGTGTTAGTCTGTCGAATCAGTATGTAGAGAGATCTTGTAGCACCTTTGAGGGTCACTAAAGAAAGAAATTGGCAGCAGGAGCTTTCGTAGACTTCTGTCTATTTCCTCAGATGCATTTGCAAATGTATATGAAGAAGTAGACTGAAGTCTAGGAAACTCCTGTTGCCAATTTCTTTCTTTCAGTTAGTCTCAAAGGTGCTACAAGATCTCTCTACATACTGAAAGAGAGAAGTCAGTAGCAGGAGTTTTCCAAGACTTGATAAGAAGAAGAAGAGGAGGAAGAGGAAGAAGAAGAAGAAGGAAGAGCAGGAGTTTTCCAAGATCTAGTTTCTCTCTTGCAAGAAAGATACAGACTATGCAGCCAACTTCTCTCTTTCAGGGAGTCTCCAAGGTGCTGCAGACTGATTTCCCAGACTAACAGGACTTTGAGTTCATTCCGAGGTTTCAAACACCAGTAGAGCCCGACTGGAGCAGTCAAACAAAACCATCACGTTTTCCAGTTCTCTCACCTTCCATCCCAGTTCTGGAGGACGGGGCGGGGGGGGG